CCTGCATAGAGTTTGCATGAGCTAGTATGCAATCTCAGAGGCCCGTGTGTAATGTGTACACAGTGGCGGTCGCGGGGGGAGGGGCATCAGGGCCATATCCCCCAAAGGCCAATAAAGGGGGCCATCATATCATTTGTCCCCCTCAAACAACCGATGGGCCCCCATAGGTGTATGGGGCCCTGGCCCTTATTCGATCGTCACGAGGCTAAAAAAAACTCCCAGCTATTAATATAGCTCCCACACCGGTCTTTGAGCGTGCTACAATAACCTCTGAGGGAACTTCAGTGGCGGTCAAGCGCCCACGTTGGCCGCTAAGAGCCCACATCAACCTTTGAAAATCTGGCCTATAAGGGTCCCTAACCGGCCTCAAGGGCCCCAACCGGCGTCTGAGCGTCTCACACCGGTCTCTGGTGGCCTTATTTCTGTCTCTGATGTCCCAAGACGAACCTTTAGGTGCCAATGAGGGCCCCGCACTGGTTGCTAAAGACCCGATGCCGGCCTCTAAGGGCCTGCATTGGCCTCTGAGGAGGGCCCATCTTGGCCTTTGAGGGCCCTCTGCTGGCCTCTGGGGTCTAACGACGGCTCATGCCGGTCTTTTAGAGCCCCACGCTGACCTCTGAGGGCCCCATGTTGGCCTGTAATGAGTAAGGACCCACATTAGCCTCTGAGAGCCCAACTCGGTCTCTGATTGTCTCAAACTACTGGCCTTTGCAGTTTGCAGGCCCTGTACTGGTAGTGGTCTCTGAGGGCCCTCAACTGGCCTCTAAGTGAAAACATACATGGGTGGGCTTCTAAAGATCAGAGGGCTTACGCAGACTCCTGCGACCTGCACAGCCTTACGTTGGTCCTGATAGAGATCACTTTACGTCCTGCTGGTCCCGCGTAGATTCCCTCATATTTCGACGTCGGGACCCCATGAGCCGTTGTGGGTCCTGGGGCTGGCAAAGACTGATGTAGTCCTCAGGGCTCAGGGCCAGTCTTTTTAGCATGAGGACTAGGCAGGTTGAGTGAGCCCCAATAGAGCCGTTGCGAAGCCCGCAGGAGTCGCACGCGGCCCTCAGATGCCAATTTTGAAAGCCAGGAACCTTTGTTCTCCAGAGGTCGGTGTACCTACTCTCTCCCGCCGCCACAGAACTATATGAGCAAAAGTCATAATAGTCTGAAAATGCTCTCTGGGTTTCACATGCTTGTTCAAAGCAAGAGGTAGGTACCTATCTGATTCTGTACTTTTCTGAATTGTTTTATAGTGGGAAGGTCATGAATCCGCGTGCCCGACCTTCCAGTCTATGCTACACCGATCCGTCGCCATGGTGCAGACTGCAGTGGCCCGCGCGGTGGAAACACCGTGTGACGGGAAATGGAACTGGTGATTTTGCCTTAAATTTAGCTTAAAGATTTCACGTAAGAATGAGATGGCTGAGGCATAAGTAGTGCCAACTGCGCGGCGCCTCAGGGACGTAAAACATTAGCCGATCACCCCCCCCCCCTCCGGTGACGGATAAATGTCATGTCCCGCGAGTGTGAGTTTGGCCCCCCCTTTTGCTAGCGGCTGCGACCGCCAGTGGGAGGCCCTGTAAAAGTGGTCATCTCTGTGAGTATAAGAGACCTCCAAGTTATGAAAAGCTTTACCAATCTTCTAACAAAGAAGTCTTCTCAGCTAGTCTTCTAAGAAATAACTAAGTGGGTAGGTTAAAAAAAAAAAACTCATCGGATTTCGGCCACTTTATTTTCAGGAGGCCCCCTTTTCAGCTTTTTAACTTTTTAACTTTTTATTTTATTTTTGAAAAAAATCGGCCAAGGGGGGGGGGGGCATGGCCCCCATGGCCCCCCCCCCTTGTATCCGCGCCTGGTGGCGGTGCTACCCGCACATTTTTTGGAGGACGAAAAATGCAGGACTTGTTTTCGACGTCTGTAAAGTAGCGAAATTTTATAATGGAGCGCTGGAAACTATGCCAACATGTAGGAAAACATTTCTACTTTCACATGAATGCAAAAGAGCTTCGTTTTTACTACGCATATCAGCTCGGTGAGCAGAAATGCTTAAGGTGGCGGTGCTCCCCCCGCTTCCCCTACTTTGTATGAAGAGATATAGCGTCGTATAACTCTTCGTATTATGAGTTTATTTCAATGTTTTAATCGAAAATGATGTCTGATAACTTGATAAATAAGGTTTCTAGCATTTAGTAATTAGTACCTACTACCAAGGCTGAGACCCTACCAAAAAACACTGCACCTAATTTGACTAAATTGCACCAAATGTCTGTGACCTTACATCAGTACGTCACTAGTACTGCGCCGAACTCTGCTGAGTTTAACCCGCGCCCCGCTGGGGGGGGGGCAGAATCTGCCCCCCTCTCGTTTTTTCGCTAATAACTTCTAAACGCGTTACGCCAGGGACGTGAAACATTCTGTACCTTATCATACATCAATTTGACACGATGCCTGAAAATTTGAGCGAAATCCGTCAGAATTTTTTTGAGAAATTGACGTTTTAGTGACGTCATGTTCGCCATTTTCGCCTCAAAAACGGCAAAATTTCAAACGCCGCTAAAATCTTCAATTTTAACCTTCGCCCCAGTGGGGGGGGGGGGCATATGCTACCACCCTGTCGCGTTTTTTTGCGTGTGAATAAAAAACCGCGGCGCGTAGCGCCGCGCCGCTTGGGGTAGCTTGTGGTACATGAATTTTGGACAATGTGTGAAATTTTTGACCCCAGGTCATGTCAGGTCAGGTTACCAGATCAAGTTAACTGACCAAGCCTAAAAAAAGTTTGCAATCATGTCCAGCCTGCAGTGTTTGTCAGAAAGGTTTCAAACTTGGTGGATTGCATGCTGTTATGGGCGCCTACAATTTGTATATCTCGGATTTTTTATATCCGTGACCTAAGGTCAGCTCAGTGGCGTGACCTTTCCATTACAAGTCAATAGAGAAAAATGAAAATGCCTCTAGATCCGTGTGTATGCATCGGAACAGTCCAACTATTTCAGAATCACAATGATTTAGTCCACTCGTGATGACCAAGGTGTCATTTTTGCTGATAGCCTCTTGACAGGTCATCCGAGGTCACTTGAGGCTACAAACAGTTTTTTGCCAATAACTCGCGATTGGAAAGGGATAGAACGCTGGGGATGGTCTCATTGTGTTTGTCTTGTTGAGACGCATCGACTGATATGCAACATGACCTTTTCCGGTCAGGTCATGACCTTGACATGAGGTCAAATTTTCAAGTTGACCTTTCAAGGTCAAATTATAGTTCATTCGACGCGTCTCGGCGAGGGGAACACGATTCTGGCAATAGAAATGTCGTGGCTTTTTGAAGTCAAAAGTTATTGTCGAAAAACACTTTTCGTAAAAACAGCGATTTTTGGAGTTTTTGCCCTCTGGAAGCTAAACCGTTGACCTGAGGTCAATATTGATAATGACCTTTTCAAAAGAAGAGTTCAAAAGCTATCGTTTGCTGTTTCGTGCGTTTTTCTAGCTACCATAGTTCCTGAGATAGCGGCACGTTTTATGAAAAATATAATGACAATTGGCAAATTTTGACCTTTGATGACCTCTGGTGACCCCAATATTGCTCTAAGGTGAAAAATGGCCGAAATACTTTCAAACGTACGCATTGAGAGCTATCGACTGCTTTTTACCGCGTCTTTCTAGCCCTCTTAGTTTTTGAGTTAGAGGTGGGTGGTAACATATGCCCCCCCTCACTAGGGCGAAGTTGGCTGAGACCGCCACTGGGGCGCGGGTTAAAGGAATCAAGACGTAACAAAAAAGGTTATACGTGATTCTACTGTGTCTATCAAATGGCTATCTCGGTTTTTGAAAATTTTGGATTTTGGCCCAAATTTTTTCAAAAAACTGACTTTTTTGGGAAAATAGTTATAAAATCCAAAATTTTGAGGGTATAAAAACCGGAATATATGTCAGAGAAGTAGTCTATGTGCACCTACATACCAATTTTTAGAAGAATCGGTTCATAAATGTGGGAGTTATTCAAAATTTTATGACGTCACGACACACAAAAATTTTGAAAAATGATTTTTTTTTTTTGAAGTTCTAGACCTCGTACGGAAACAAAAATAGCACCATTCGATTCGCCGTGAAAAACTATATCAGGTAGACACCTTTTTAGGCTTTAACAACCAACTTCAAAATTTGACCTCACTTGACTTGACCTTGACCTGACCTCGACCCCAAATTCATCCAGAGGTGGTCTATATCACTTATTGAGTGTGCCTATTGAATTCTATGAGTAAAATGACCCATAAAACATGTATCGCACATGCCCTTTTCTATATTTTGTTTTTGGTGACCTGACCTGACCTGACCTTGACCTTAACCTTTGAATGACATTTTTGCAACGAATATTGTCTTGGTAGTCTAAGAACACGTTTTGGGCAATCAGTCTCAGTCCATTCTTCGGCAACTACGGTGCAAGGCCGATACTGTAGAAACTTGCATTTTGTACCCTTGACCTGACCTTGACCTGACCTCTGACCTACTTAAGCAAAAATTTTGAGCTCTTTAGATCCGCCTTGTTGAGAGCTTTCAATTGCCGTTTTCCCCGTCTTTCTACGACCATCGGTTCGGAAGTTAGACAGGGGGGCAGAATCTTGACCTTGACCTTTGAATGACATTTTTGCAACGATACGCGCCCCCCCCCCCATACGCGCCCCCCAGCAGGGCGCGTATGGCTGAATAGCCCAGCGCGACACAGGCGCGGCTCCAGAGGGCTGGGGTTAAACGACACGTGCACTTGGCACGATGTTATACCTAATCTATCGAGGTAGGTATAAATGCATATTAGCGTTTTAATGCTGTTAGGTCAGCTCAATGCCTAGTCTGTTCAACGTATAATTCTGCCATGATGATTTAATTCGTTATCTAATATTTTGATGAACCTAAGTTTAATGTTTCATGAAGAAGGAGTGTTGTAAAATTGACATCATATCCATATTTTATCGCGGCTGTTTTCAGATTCTCTTCCCGTTCCGCCACTCGCCCAGCAGTGCCCTCACCACGCCGTCGGTCGGTCAGAGAGGCCATACCCCCGTGCCGTCACGCTGCACCAGAGAGCGGTCCTGTTTTTACTGGTGACGTAACCCGCCAGGCCCAGGCGACTCGGCAACTCGGCTGTGGGCGCTCTCGTGCACTGTGTGCAGTTTGTGTTGTAACGTGTATAGCGCGGGGTGCGGTGCGCAGTATTCATTCACCAATTAGAGCTATCCGTGTATAGGACTGGCGCGGGAGTGCAGAGTGCTCACTGTGACTGGTGCCAGTGTTGTTAGATCTACTCGTTGTCGCTGATCTATTCGTCTCCAGGTCTATTCGCTGTCGGTGATCTATTCGAGAACGCAGCCGTGGGATACCGTGATTGGTTATATGTTCAAGGTGAGCCAATTGGGTGTTGAGATAGTCAATAGCATGAATGAACACACAGAGGCGCATGATTCCAATAAGGAGTGTTTCTAGCTAACGCTTTACAAGACGACTTATTGAATACTTTCAGCCTCTGTAAAATAAGATCGACGGAGCGTACGAATAATAACGCGTTGCTCGATGAAAGGCGAGCCTTTTGGCTTTTGCAGTCCATAACGAGTGCAGGATGTCAATGGTGGGGTGTCTTGGGTGTAATAACCTGAAGTGTATATCTATAAAAGCGTATACCTACAGAATATACCTAAAGCGCGGCTTGCTACATTCTTTTAGCTCAAAACCTGAACCGACTTTTCGTAGCTTTTGTAACGTAAAGGTGTATTGTTTTTAAATAGTTTCCTAATGTCTCTCTCGGGAGTGAGTCCCAACCTACCACATCATGTAAGATCTCTATGACCACATCCCTTTCCACTACCTAATCTTCACTCCAGATGTCGAAGAGTCAGCAGCTGCCGTTCAAGATGATTCCCCTGCCAGACGACATCCAGAAGAGAATCGCCAGCGACTTCAGGGGCTTCCCCAACGGCCTTGTCAGCTGCAACCACTGGGGCTACAAGGTGTCCGCCACGACCACGGAACAAGAGCTGGATGGCATATTCAACTACCCGCTGGATCCACGTGACGTTTGGCTGGTGACGCCGCCAAAGTGCGGAACCACCTGGAGCCAGGAAATGGTGTGGCTTATCGCCAACGATCTGGATTATGAAGGAGCCAAATCACCACTGATGCCAGACAGGTAGGAGTTGAGAAGTCACTGCCGAGGGGGCCATGCAGAGGCCCGCCCGCCGCTCATAAAAACCGGAAATGGTTGCATTCCCGTCAAGTAGATTTTTCAAGTAACTTCAACTTTCAAGTAGATTTTTCATACCATAGACCTCTGTACACCGGTGTACAGAGGTCTATGTTCATACCAAATCAGTTGAAGCTTCCGTCCACGATAAAATCACTATGGTATCGAAATACTGATGATAAATTTGTAAAGACGTTTCCGGGTTCGATGGAAAGGCGTTTACAGCGTTCTTCTTCATCCAGCCCGAATGCCTTCCCAGGTGGAACTTTCCCGACTTTGTGACCGTGATCGACAAGGACGACATGCCCCGCTGGTTCCGCGGCAGTGTTCGCCACGGGCCGGGCCAGCCCAACGGGCCATGGGCCGGGCTGGGCTACGGGCTGGGCCGGGCCCCCAAATATCATTAGTTAACGGGCTATGGACGGGCTGGGCCAAGAGCTTTGTGCACTATGTGTTTTGCGACTAATGTCAATTTAAGAAAATTTGGAAACTGATGCAAACAAAACCCACTGGGAAAATACAAATACTAAACCAAATTTAAGCAATGTGAAAGAAAACCTACCTGATACTGAATTTTGGGAATCTTGAGAATTATCCAATATCACATCATGTCACACATAGGAGGGTTTTCATAAAAATTCCGCAACCAAAAAGATCAGAGAATCTCTAGCATCATGAGTTTGTAATAAAAGTTAAAATGTAGTCATCAGAATAACTTACTTAGCACTACAACTCCAAAAACTAAGAAGCCACTCAACAATGATGGGCTACAGGGCTACATTAAGTTTAACACTTATATATGGCGATAGTGAGACAATTCCAACACAGTCTTTTTTCCTTCACCGACGGCTTTTTAACGAACAGAACCTTAAAAGGATACTCACAAAACACACTGTAAGTAACGAGGAGCTCTACAGAGTATTTCGCGATGAAAGCTTCTTTAAATGTCCATAAATTTGTCAAAATAAATCACAACAAACCAGCCCCTTCTCAACAAAATTTGCAATCATGGCGGCGGCGCTATGTTTATGTGGCGGCATCTAGGTAGTATACACAACAGTATATCAAATAAATACGTTTTTTAAGTAAGTATCAAGGTGAAAAACAAAATTAAACAAATAAGAAATAAAACCTAAATCACGAAGTCTGAAAACTCGAACGAAAAACAAAACAAAAACTTGATCATATATGTTTTATTATACAATTGGTCAAAATTCCTACCTGCCGCAGCTGCGACAATCAAGAAGTGTTCGCTCATTTTCGATTGATGATGATGATGCGTAAAAGTCGCAAAGATACCCAATGATATTTCAAGCTTATCATGTTTTCTGCTTACGCTGCTAGCGATATCCATATCTTGAAAAGAGCCTAACATAAAATAGCAAGGAAAGTAGCAGATAGTTGTCCACAGAGATTCGGTTGACACGTGGGCATGAATTGAAAATAGATAAGATCAGTTTTGCTGATAAATGGATGGATTTTCTCTTTTTTTGGAAGACAGTGCTAAAGTTAGTGTCACCTATTTTGTATGCTTTCTCAGGCGTTTGATATTGCAGCATCTATGGAGTGAATTTAACAGCAAGGTCAATCCCAGACAGATTCATCAATGGCCATAAGTCAAGCTTTTTTTCTGCTGGTAAGTGCTGGGAAGTATAGAGTATGTGGCAAATACTTCCTTCAAGTATGCATTAGAGTCACCAATTATGAATGATAATGTTCACACACATCAGCTTGCAAGATAACTTTACTCATAGAATGTAGTTAATATAATCATGTGAACTTTTTATAGGTGTGTAATCATGACCTAATTGACTGAGGTGCTTGCTGTTACTGTTAAAATTTGTGCCATAGGTGCTTGAAATGATTATATTCATTGAAAAGAAGGGAGTCATGATTGCCATGTTAATATTCATGCAATTTGAATTGTTCTCAAAATAGTGTAATCAATCATGCTTATTATAGCAATAGACTAAGACAATAACTAGATTGCTATTTTTGACGGGCCGGGCCGGGCTGGGCTTGGAATATTTGCCAAGAGCGGGCTACGGGCTGGGCCGGGCTCTGAACCCATGGGCCCGGGCCGGGCTGGGCTGGGGATTTTGGGGCCCGTGGCGAACACTGTTCCGCGGTCCGACGGATGACTTCAGCGCGCTGACCGGCGACCCACACCGACCGGCGCCGCGCTACGTCAAGTGCCACCTGCCACTGTCCATGTACCGGCCGCAGCTGCTGGAGACCTGCCGGGTGGTCTACGTGGCCAGGAATCCCAAGGACCTCTGCGTGTCCCTCTACCACCACAGCCGCTTCTTCTACTGCTACGACTTCGAGGGCGACTTCGAGGTGGGTTGACGGGTGTTTATGCGCTGCATATCATCCGGGAACTATAATCATTGGTTGTAAACGGAAGAGACATCTGGCGTCTGCTAACTGATGTAGGGTCACGAGGAACTATTTCACTTTTTAGACAGGTGTTGACTGTTGTCAAAGAGAATGTCCATGTCTTAACGTTTCAGAGCATCAGCTCAGCAGCGTGACAGCGTCCATGGGGTAAAAACTAAAGCACCAGTTTCCGGCGACTAACAAAGTGGAATGCTTTTTTTTCTCGGCAGCTGTTCCTGCAGTACTTCATGGATGGCAACATTACCGATCTTCCCTGCGTGGAGCACATGATAGAGGCCTGGAACCTGCGTCCCCACCCCAACCTCTGCTTCCTCTTCTACGAGGACATGAAACGCGATCTCAAATCGCAGATCCGCAAGGTGGCCAAGTTCCTGGGAAAGGATTTCTCTGAAGAACAGGTGACCAAGCTGGCCGAGCACCTGCACATCGACAACTTCAAGAAGAACCCCTACGTCAACCGAGAGAACCTAAAACAGGATGGCGTGGCGTACACTGACAGAACCGACTTCATCAGGAAGGGCAAGACGGGCGATTGGAAGGGCGCTTTCACAGCCGAGATGAACGACAAGTTCGACCGCTGGCTCGAAGACAAGCTGAAGGGAACTGACCTCAGGTTCACCATGGAGCTGGACACGCAAGATTGACTCGACCGGACCCAGAGGCTTCCAACGTGGTACAATCGTGGACAAAAGTTTTGTCCACGACTGTACCTGGGTTTTGTACCTGGGTTTTGTCACAAAACCCAAAGGCTTGGAAAGGGTTTAGGGGTGCGCTGTAAAAATTGGTAAATTCTCTCCAGTGAGGCTTTGTCATGTGATAGCCGAAATGAATATAATATAGCATGATCGCCATTTTGGGCGCGGCAACTGGAAATTGTCAATACCTGATGTAGCATACGGCTGCACTGCGACAGTTGGAACTACATGGAAACTACATGGGCGACTACATGGAAAACTGGGACAAAGCTGGTGAACGAACGACAAATATTGCCAGAAATAACTCAGAAACAATACCCCCGGGTCTATATTCGTAATAGTAGCCTGTGTATGATGCAGCGTAGGTGTCCGCATCCGGTATAACGCCCACAATTTGGATCAGCCCGCACATATCAGAGGCAATTCTATTCACGGCGTAAACACTCCAGTATATTGCGTTCCACAAATATACACACACTGTGTGCTTCGCAGATCTAACTATGCAGGACAAGTTGACCTCCGTCTAGAGCGGGAAATACCTACGCCTTAACAGCTGCACAAAATTTCTCCGTCAAAATAGTAGTATGATTTGGGGTTTAGGGCGCCCAGACTGCGATGATCATTGGCGTCCACCGCTAAAATAGTAGGCATCGCAAAATTCAGGCAAATCAAACCAGCAAAACTTGGAATGCATAAGAGGAGGTAACTGTGTTACAATGAATTCGTCACAACCTTTGGTACAAAAGAAACAACATCTCCTGAGCATAACTAGCAAACACCGTTATAAGACTATTTATACAAACATTAGCACAGCCTCGCACGAGACAGTTCGCTAAAACACTCGAGGGAAGTTGGCATCCCATAGTTATCGTCAGCATCCCTCGACCTTGATAGCCAATATCCTGGATGCCGAATGCCACGAGAGGAGTAGGTGGTTCAACTATGACGCAAGTGCTAAACCAACAGACGATAAACAACAACCGCAGAGCTATGCTGCGGTAGTAGCCTCTTGACGAGTGAGTGTATACACATAGTGTTACACTGATCAGTCGCTCATATCCTATAACTTACACAATTATGCTTGCACTTCTACGTGTAACTTTACACCGGAACAGTCGTTTACGCTCAAAGGGGTCGGCTTTCATGCTAGAAACAGTTCGCCACATATCACATCTCTTCCCAGCAGTGCCTAATAACCAGCAGTTTGAAAAAACGCCTTCCGTGAATCCTTCCATGCCCATGGAAATTCGAATTCCACTCCAGCAGTTCATGCCATTGGAAGCCCAACGTTCGCCTACCCTTTCGCTCCGTGCCACCACGCCATACAGAACTAGCGGACGACTCACAAACTTTGCGTTCACAACGACCGCCGCCAAGTGTCCCAGAAGTCCTACCTGCACGTGTTGGGACACGGCGGCTGGTAGCGGCCCAGCCTCCGCTGTACCTCTGGAGGCTGGCGGAAGGCGGGCGTCGGCCCACCGACCTCGTCCGACCCGTCGCAGCAGTCGCACACACCGTCCCTGACGCGGCTGGACGGGATGTCGACGCCATGACAGTGAAACGAGCCGTGCGCGCACGCCGCCGTGCCGGGCTCGTCCGTGGCGTCGGCACAGTCGCAGTAGTCGTCATTGATGCGCGACCGCGGCAGCACCTCGCCACTGCGAAGACAGGTGAACTCGGGCAGCCGGTAGAGGGTCGCTACTTCCGGTCTCACGCCGACTGGAACGTCGGGAGGCTTCGCGGCTGGCGGCTGGATCTCCGCCTCCACTCCGCCGTGTAGAGGGGCTGCCTTCACAGGCTCGGGCGCGGCCGGCCTCAAGAGCTCAGGCGGGACCGCCTTCACAGGCTCGGGCGGGGCCCGCCGTCTGTTCCGATCGTCTCCATGCGCCTCCTGCACCGGCGGCGGGTCTCTCAGCGCCAGCGCCCGCTCGTATTTGCGCTGCCCGAGCGGCGCCGAGACCGGGTCGGCGCGTAGTCGGAAGAACACCAGCGCGGCGAGCAGCAGCGGCACGCACACCACAGTCAGCAGGAGGCGGCGCGGCAGGCGGCGAGCACCGTGCCGCCAGCGCACGTAGCACCGGTACCAGTTCCACGCCATGGCGCTAGGCGGGCATCATCGGCCGGCAGAGGTGCAGAGACTCGGTCGACAACAGCAGTGGTTCAGCGGTACATACTGCGGCCTGAGTAAGGGGAAACAGAGTAATCTGTAAATGAAAAAGGTTATCAGAACACACTCTCTGAAATCGAATGAATGAAACATTATCGAATGAAACATTAACAGTAAATGAAAATGGCAGCAGTTGCATTGACAGCACCATGCAATTCTAATCAACTTTAGGGCACCCTAATTGCAGATGTTTAAGGTCAATATTTGAGATGACAAATTTGGCATACCCCTGTCCGTGACATTTGATAAGAAATTAGAGATAGGTATGGATGAGTGAAAGGAAACTGTTACCATCTTAAATTTGAATGTGCATGAAAATTGAGCTAAACTGTATGCTAATAATAAGCAGCCTGCTCTTACTTCTTAGAAAATAAAAAATAAAAACATAAAAATAAAACTAGGCGCCATGTTGGAATACATGGATAGATGGATAGATAAACCCAGAGCTCAGCTACACAGAGCATTTCACATAGGCTTATTCCATCTGGTAGGGACAGGCCAGAGAGTAGGACAAGTCGAATGCCACAGCAGGCATGGCCAGACACTGCCTGGTGGCTGGCCCACTCCACTGACTTCAACGGCTTGCAGCTTGAGCTGCTCCCATCAGCCTGAGTCAGACCATCCCCATCAACACCAATGAAAGCATCATATCCAGTAGCAGCGGAACACCTTCAATTAAGGGGGGGGGGGTCACTGCTGACCAGGGTTGGCAGGGGGTGGCAAAAACTGGTTTTTGCCAGTGGTTTTAACCGGTTTAAACCGGCTGGCAGAAACCCTGGTGGCAAAAACTGGCAAAAACTGGCAAAAAATCAGATGGCCAAACCTACAACTTTTCTAGTTAGGAATGGATTTGAAATGTACAGAAATGCATTTAATGCATTTCTGGTAGTTATATAGATGCACTTAACATTCTGAAGTTGCCTCATTACTTATCCCTGCTTAAAATGTCTATGCAATTATGCATGTCGGTAGACATCCACAACGGAATGTATTTCCATGTAAGGGGAGAGTGGGACAAGGCGGCCTCGGTAAGTAGGGTGTCATGCGGTGCCGTGCGCATATCAATGGCAGATGCCTCTTCGCACTTCTGATTGTGCAGGACTCACCCAGTCACCCTTGCATTGGCTCATTTATTACCCCCAAAAGACATCTTACTAGCTCCTTATGGATAGCCCATGAAAATGTTTCTGAGTTAGGTATGAAACATTTCAATGGTCAATGTCACTTCTGTTTGAAAGCATAAAGCTTTCACCGAATTCTCCTTAAAATGTTTCCTGTTCAAAATCATGTCTAGGCATAGCATTGTGATATTCTGAGTTTTTGCCAGTTTTTGCCACTTTTTGCCGGTTAAAACCGGTTTAAACCGGCAAATGGCATAAACTAGTTTTTGCCGGCAAAAATGCCAACCCTGCTGCTGACTTTTGGTCCCATTCTTTCCATGCAATGCCCATAAGGCTAATGTTAAAATGCTGAACTCAAAGGGGAGCACAGTGCCTCGGTGCTCTCCCCGTTCCGCCGCCTATGATCATATCTCAAGCACCGGAGTGACTTGAACTTGGGCTCTTACCACCAGGCACCAAGAGACCACTGACCAGCCAAGACTGAAAAAACAAGCTATGCAGAATAATATGTCCAGCATAGTGGCTGGATTGGAGCAAATCCAGCTCCAGTGTAATCTCACACATGCTGAATTTCACATATGGCGGCCTAAAAATTCTTCAGCACTGCCAGCTGCCAAATTTCTCGATGCATGTTGACAGCCAATTTTTTGCCATTTTGGTTAATCTAAAAGCAGAATGATACAAAACAGTATGGGTGAGGCAGACAACGCAAGAGCCTTGGACCCAGGGGCGCGGGAACTACTTTCCAACTGGGGGGGCACACCATAATAGAGATCAACCTAGGGTACCCCCAAATCTAGTTTTCTCACCGGTTTTAGGCCACTTATTTTTCACCCCTCGGCTTTTTCAACAAAAAAAGAAAACATTTGCAAAAAAAGTGTGGTATTCCGTCTCAAAGCTGTGGGGGCACCGCCCCCACGGCCCCAGAGTTGGGGGGGCAAGGTGCCCCCACTGCCCCCCCGGCTCCCGCGCCTATGCTTGGACCTTGACCTTCCATACCTCAACCTCAACCTGCCCTGCCAAAAACAAAGCTATCAGGAAGGTTTGAAATGCCTTACAAAATTTGGAGGAGTGCAGCTCAAGCTCAGGCGGATGAATGTATAGACAATCCTGAATCCAAAAACGAGCCATTAGCCCATTAATGTCACTTGTCACGTGTATTGTCCGGAAATCGAACCAGAAAGATTGGATCTAGAGACAAGGAAGGTATTGAACTAACCCATGGACCAATTTGCTCCAGTGGGGGGCCACAACACACAAACCCCGACTCAAGGCCCTAAATACACCCCGACTTATCCAAGCCTCGAGCCCTAACCCAAAACAACAAAACAACAACAACCAAACGTCGGAATTTGCCACTGAACGAATTTGCCATCGCTCATAAATGTGACATGCGCCCCATATATGTCATCCACTTTCTTTGTAAGGGTATTTTTATTTAGTTTCCACGATAGAAAAAACACTTTAGATGTTTATGGGCTTCTCATGATATTGATTCCCATGACCTCATTTTAGCCCTTCTATATTTTGTTATGTGACTTGAATGCACACATATTTTCGAAATATCGGTATTATACATTATATTTTTGTTTTGTACTTATTAAAATGGTAAAGGAAAAACTGTATTAGATAAGGAGAAACTTCATATGGCAGTTTTCATATGGTAGCAATTCAGCCGCGGATTCACGTGTATTTCGTGGCAGCAGGTGGCGTTCTTTTGCGCTGCTAGGTCGCAGAGGGCGGACGTCGGAGTTGGGCGCCATGAAATTGCCAAATGATAGGCTTTTGCGAGACCTCGGGTTGTTATCAAGTTGTTATAAAACATGATCTGAGAAATGTGCGTCTTCTTGATGGCTCTACGAGTCTTCTCTGCATGTCTTGATTGGGGGGCTGATGCCCTGCGCCAGAAGTTCGAATGGCCGGCGGCCTTGGCATAAGGTAAGTCAAATCCTTTTTATTCGCTCTGTCCATGCCCTCTGTGAACAGTAGCAGCGGCACACCTTCAATTAAGGGGGGTGGGCACTGCCGACTTTTGGTCCCATTCTTTCCATGCAACGCACACAGGGCTAATGTTAAAATGCCAAAATCAAGGGGGCACGGTGCCCTCCCCGTTCCGCCGCCTATGTCTGTGAAGTTACATCTGGGAGGTATTTTGTTCACTGAGTGACCTGTAAAGAAGCACAAACATTGCATGCAATTCAATATGATGATCAATATCAATTCAATATGAAGTGAAGAGTTGGGAAACTACCAGGCGAAGATCCAAAAATTGATTAGCCAATAAACGGCTGGAGTGGGTGGGGTGATGACCATATTGATATATCAGTTGGGCAAACTAGGCGGCGGGAATCAAAATATGGAGGCATCAAAATATTGATTCTAGGGGGCAGAGCTTGGACCATATATGGGCATACGTGCAACTGCAGGCCATTACAGAAACGTCAACTCTTAAGCAACCGGCTATAATTTCAAGATAGTTTCTCCTCATTTCGCCTTCTGCAGTTCCAAAGGGCAAGCTGCTGCCTGCAGAGGCACGAGTCCGAGCCTTGGAACACCTTGCCTCTTACGATGGTTTTATTCCTGTATTCACAGACGGCTCTAAAACACCTGAGGGAGCGGGCTGTTCTTTCGTTGCTGGCGACGATACCCATTCATTTTCGTTGCCATCTTTCGCCTCGGTGTTTCCATCGGAACTTGTTGCCATCGAGAAGGCTTTGTGTTTTATTGAGGTATCGGACGGACCTTTTTACTTGATTTTATCGGACTCCCTAAGCAGCCTGTTGGCCCTACGGAGTTTTAATCCAGCCGACCCGATCGTTCAAGACATTTTAACTCGGCTTCAGTCAGTAGAACAATCGGGTAAATCTGTTCAGTTCTGCTGGATTCCCAGTCACGTTGGCGTTCATGGCAATGAGCTGGCAGACGCGGCTGCAAGGCGTGCTGCTGCAGCACTCTGCACTCGTCGGTTGCCATTGCCGGCGCGTGATTTTTACCCTGCTGTACGATCTTTTATTCTAACGGAGTGGCAGGCAGAGTGGCGCCTGCGTGGAGGCAGGAAGCTCCGAGAGGTGAAGCCGACTCTGGAGCATTGGAGGTCTTGCTCGCAAGACAACAGGTCAAACGAAGTGATTTTATGCAGGCTCCGCATCGGTCATACGTATGCGACGCATGGCCACCTTCTCCGCGGACATGGATTAGAGATTTCCTGGATCGGCAACTCTCCGTCGGCGCCTTTGATGTAAGCGACCACGGCTGGCCACCTAGCGGCGGAGTGGTGAAGCTTGGTGAGATAGGACGGCGGAGGGTTGGGCGCTAATCCCTGTGGTAAACTGCGGGCCAAGATCAATCGAATTTGGGGATTGAACGGCTGGGTGCGGTGCGTTAAAACGAAGTTATGGTGTCGGGAACGTCCAGTAAGTCCATATTGTCCTCAACGAAGTAATCGGACCATTGGGGTAAGAACATTTTGTCTCGGCAGAGGACGTGCATACGAGTCGCCAAGCTCTTATGCCGGCGTAAAATGCACGCATCACCATCTTTTGATAACACACTGTTCCATCTTTTCCATCCTCAGGATAGTCAAATCCTTTTCCTCCACGCCTCAACCCCCTGATCCGGGCTGGACGGGCAACTTTATCCCATGCGGGCAGCTCCGCCAGAGCACACCCGTAACCGGGTGCATAGAGTACATACGTACAGGTCTCGCGGGTTTTAGCGGTAGGTTTTGCACCTAGAAAATTTAGTGTACTTCAGGCTATATCTTCGTCGTCTTAAGCTTTTAAGTGTTGAAGATGCGATCGACTTGTTGGGTAACAAGCCGGCCATGATCGTGTAAAATGGCTTCATCGTAGATCTATTAGTTTCTGAGATATAACCGGAAATGTAAAAGTGCAAAACCTACCGCTTAATCTCGCGAGACCTGTACCTACTTGGGAGGCTGGTCGGCCCGTCCATTCGGACGGGCTCAGCCCCGGCGGGCGGCGACTCACTAGAGTGCCTGCCAAGACCAATGTCTCCCCTAATTCTAATCATCATAGGCGGCGGAACGGGGGGGGAGTACCGTACCCCCTTTGATTTTGGCATTTTAACATTAGCCCCATGGGCGTTGCATGGAAAGAATGGGATCAAAAGTCGGCAGTTCCCCTTAATTGAAGTTGTCTCACCGCCACTGCCTATCATCGTTCCGGCTCTGAACTGGTCTCGTCAGACCGAAAGGGCCTAACCCAGCAAAACAAACAAAGAAACAAATCACTTCGCCTATAAAATAATCTCGGAGCCGCGATTTCCGCACTAACGGGCTCTTCTTACTTCAGCACGTCAAATGCTATATTCTTTGCTTGGTGGATGAATACCTAAGGTCAACTCGAGTGTGGACCTCAGGTCAAGGTCAGTCAGATTAAAGTCACTAAGGTCACGAAGTTGGTTGAAGGAGGTTGTATTGCATACCTATTATTCGATTCAATGGTCTTCCTGAGTCCATTGATGGCTTTTGCGACTCGCTAACTCGATTTGATATCATTTCCGGCGCCAAAATAACAGTTTCCATAGTTCCCCGCAATGACATAGAGGCTTATAATGGTGAGGTCATGTTATGATGTTAGCGACCTGACCCCAGATGCCCTTTAAAGGGACTGTCCCACCTTAACATTAGATTTGAGTTGAGATAGCCATCTTGATGGACGTTCTTTGAAAATCAGTGCCGTGAAAACCGTTTCTCCAGCAATTACTTCATCGCAAAGAAATTTGAGTTTGATTTTGACATCTGTGCAAATAAGTGCCACAATGTATTGGTATAGGCACTTAAATCTGATGACGTCATCAGGCTTTCGAACGTCCGTTAAATGTTTGACTAAAACGTTTTGTAGCACGCGGTGGTATATGCTGCGTTGCGCGCAACAAATGCCGCACTTTTAAATAAAGTCGCTAGGAACAGCGGAGATCCCAAAAAGTAAACAAAAGTAAAAGTCTAATATCTTGAAAACCGGTGAATATTTTTCGGTGAAATTTGGTAGATATTCGTTTTCGCTCTTTCTGAACCGAGCGACATCACTTTCATGCCAATTCATAAACTTTTTTAAAGGTGGGAGGGTCCCTTTAAGAAAAATCCAATATATACAAGTAAAGAGGTCTTTGGAGCAGGGCTGCGGAGTCCGGAGTCGGTCGGAGTCGACAGTTCTGACCGGGGCCGGAGTCGGAGTCGATTTTGCGAACCGGAGTCCCGCCGAAAATCCATCGACTCCGCAGACCTGGCAAGGCTGCAGAGTCGGAGTCGAAGTTGAAGTCGGTCGGAGTCGACAGATCTGCCCGGGGTGGGAGTAGAAGTGGGAGTCGGAGTCATCGAAAATCCATCGACTCTGCAGCCCTGCTAAGTTTCATCTTCCAGTGAAAATCGTCTGGCACTGAGGGCGTTGCGAAGTTGCAGCACTGAACTATTTTAGGACCGTGCAGAACGGCAGAGGTTTACGTATGACGTCATAGGTCAGTGATCTGACCCGACCTGAAAATGTGGTTGATTTCACAAGATCCGGCTTGAATCAAAGGCCTGGTGTTCCAAGTTTCAGCTCTTTATCCCCAGCGCCATACGATCAATCGCGAAAAAACCGTCAGGGTGGGGCGACGTCGACCCGCCCCCCTCCCCGTCGGCCCCTCCCCGTGTTAAAGTTAAATCCTTCTCAACTCATAAAGATTATGAAAAACAGTGCCGTTATCCTTTATCAGTTGAACTTCGAAGATAAACTGCTCAAAAACCACCCAACCACCCCGTCCCATCATTGGAACGCATAGCCGCCAAACACCGGCGTCCTATCTGGAGTTGGCGCATGCGCACTGCGATATTTGGTCGCGAATCGAGGGAGAGTTGCCAATCCAGTAAATACTTCATCCATGTCCGCGGAGATGAGCAGCCCGTTTGCGGCGGGTGCGCCGTGCCTCTCACCGTCGCCCACGTGCTTTTATCTTGTCGACGCTTGGAACCGGACCGGACTCGCTACCTGGGCCGCATCGCTCCGGATATCACCGTCCGCCACTTGCTGGGTGACGAGTCACCCTGGGTTTTATCTGGCAACATCTTTTCCTTTATCCGTTCAATCAAATTCCAAGTAATCTACTCGATCTGATACCAATCCAACTAGTCCATACGTCTATTCTAATCTAGTCCTTACGCCTAGTCAGCTGTCTTTTACGATACGCTTGGAGTATTTTACCCTTCTGTGCTCTTTTTAACCAGCTTTTAGGCTTTTTAAGCCTTTTATTACGTCGGTTTTCTTGTGACACACTTGCTTTACTTGTATATAGTTATGGGCGCAAAATGACCTTGTAGTCGGCGCGCCCTTAAAGGGACCCTCCCACCTTAACATTAGATTTGAGTTGAGATAGCCAAAATGGGGTCCCTGGCTCACAATTACCGGTTTCGGTACTCACAACATCGAGAAATGCCTTAAATCGGAAATATTGAATTTCAAAATTGCAGCATTTTGATTCAGAGGGGCTAATGCATAGGAATACCCCTCTGAATGTGTGACGTCAGCGCAGATATCTAACGATTTTTAAATGTTTGACTAAAACGTTTTGTAGCACGCGGTGGTATATGCTGCTTTGCGCGCAACAAGTGCCGCACTTTCAGCTGCCATTCCAAATACAGTCGCTAGGAACAGCGGAGATCCCAAAAAGTAAACAAAAGTAAAAGTCTAATATCTTGAAAACCTGTGAATATTTTTCGGTGAAATTTGGTAGATATTCGTTTTCGCTCTTTCTGAACCGAGCGACATCACTTTCATGCCAATTCATAAACTTTTTTGAAGGTGGGAGGGTCCCTTTAAGCCCCAATAAACAAACAAACAACAAGAAGAAAAACATTGAAGCTGCCTACCAGGCATGAAACAATAGCCCTCACCTCTTTGGTTAGTTTAGGAAATCATCGTAAAAATAATCAAGATGTT